ATGGGTGAGTGGATGGATGCGTGGGTGGGTGGAGACTCTGTGGCCTCGTGGAAGTCTGTCACTCTTATCATAGAATCAGCCGGTCTCAGAGCCACCAGGCACACCTGCTGTCCTTGCTCAGTGTGCTTCCTTTGCCCTCCCTCTCTCCCTCTACCCTCACCCCCAGACCCAAGATTTGTTTGTTTATAGTTGTCATCTCAGGGCAAGGTCCTTGCACACCCAGCCTGGGGCCAGCAACTCTACCCTGGAATGGGTGGATTTTACATCATGTGTTTTCCTGCATCCAAAGCAAAGCAACAATGTGTTGCCCCCACAATGTTATGTCTTATATAGTGCTGACCTCTGGGAAAGGGAGGGAGGGAAGGGAGGGAGGGAGGGAGAGAGGGAGAGAGAGAGAGAGAGAGAGAGAGAGAGAGAGAGAGAGAGAGAGAGAGAGAGAGATCCATCCATGTGTACTCCACCAGCACTGCTCACGGAAGGAGTATTATCTTCCCTCCCTCCCTGGAGAGGCTTGGTTTATATAATCTACTTGTCTCCCAGGCCCATTTAGTTATTGAAAGTGGTCAGAGGTTAGACAGAGGGGAGCTGCAGCCAGGTCTCAGAGCTAAAGAGAGAAGTGTTCTCATGTGGAGGAGGAGCAGGGAGGACCTGGGTGGTGCAAGGTGGTACAGAGGCACCTGACGCTCACTGACAAAATGCACCAACCAGCTGGTAAACCAGAGGGCCGGCACCCTCACCTATGGGGAGGACTCACACCTGGACAGACATGAGCTGACTGATGTCCATCCCCATGTGGCTCTGTCAAAGCGTGGAGTGGAAGGCTTTGTTGAGTAAAGAATTAGAGCAAAGGCCGCTCATGCTCTTAAAGGGTAATTGTGACAAGCCCGATAAATTTGCCATTCTCCACTGGAAGTACTTATCCTGCCTAAAAAGCAGGGAGGGATCTCTGGTCTCAAGCCAGAACACCATCTCCCCTGGCCAGGCCTGGTCTCAAGCCAGAACACCATCTCCCCTGGCCAGGCCTGGAGATACCAGCTCATGCTCCCTTCCAGACTCCTTATTTGTCACTTCTCTCATTGCGTGTCCCTTGCCTAGGACATGCCACCCTTTCCAGCTCTGTCTTACGAACAGTGTTTTGGAGCAGCTGCTTCCTAGAAAGGGAATGCGACAGGAACACTTTCCATGTGGCTGGATCTTTTTATTCCTGTCCCTTCTCCTTCTTCTACACTTGGCATTGCCCCTACCTAGAATATACTGCTCTCAGGTACTTTTTCCACCTTTTAAACGAGGTATAATTTACATGCCATGAAATTCACCCTTTTAAAGTATGCAGTTAAATGGTTTTTAGTGTATTCACAAGCTTGTACAACCATTACCACTATCTAATTCTACGATATTTTCAAAACCCCAAAAGAAACCCAGTACCCATTAGCAGTCACTCCCCATCTTCCCTCCCCACAGCCTCTGGTGATCACGAATCTTACCTTCAGTCTCTGTAGATTTACCTATTCTGGACATCTCATAAAAATGAAATCACACACTATGTGGCACTTGGTGTCTTAGCTTCTTTCCCTGAGCATGATGTTTTCAATGTTTACCTATGTTACGGCATCTACCAGCCTTTCCTTTTTATGGCCGTATAATACCCCACTGTATGGACAGATCACATTTTATTTATCCATCATCAGTTAGTGGACATTGGGGTTGTTTCCGTTTGGGGCCATTGTGAATAATGCTGCTATGAACATTCATGTACAAGTCTTACCTCTAGCCAGTGACCTTAAAGGACTTTTACTGAGTCAGCAGCTAATCTGATGGAAGATATGTGTCTAAGCACAGATTTTCCTCCCACTTGCTTCTTCTGTTGGCCTCACACTGGCCCTTGTTGAAACCCAGATGCCCTTGTTTTGGGCAGAGTATGGGCAGCACCTTGGGTTGCGTGTCACTTGGTACCAACCACCAGCTTGAGTTTGAGGAATAAAGGGTCCTCCAGGGAAGCGTGTCTAAATACAGTGTACCCCACTGCATGCCTGAGTGCCTGAAAGTTCTGTGTAAGTGTCCCAGGGAAGGTAGGGCTCATTCATTTACTCACCACGATGCCAATAGGCTGGGGCCCTGGGTGGCTTTGTGGGTCTTCTGTAGTCTGGATTGTTTCTGGGGAAGGGAGAACCTCAGAGGTGCCAGGCTTTGTTCTGTCAACTTTGTCACTTTGTTCCGCTGATTTTGGACCTCCCGCTGGGGTCTGCCAGCCTCAGAAAGAGAGCACAGGCAGAACTCGTCCGCCATCCCCCAGCACACCATGTGGGCCAGCAGGCCCTCTGCTAATTCCCTCTGCCTTCCCTGACCTGGGATTCCCACGTCCTCCTCCCCTGCAAACCACCTCTGCTGGACTCTCTCTGCCAAGACTGGGAGCTCCATGAGGACAGGAAGCAAAGCAGCCTCCCTTGTGCTGGGACACTCAACCCTGAGCAGAGTGTCAGGCTCATGGGAAAGGGGGGGGGGATGGTGATGATGATGATGATGATGGTGATGGTGATGACACTAGAGATACTTACTGAGGTTTACTGTGTAGCAGGCAATAAATATTCTATGTTCTTGACATATTTATCAGCTCCTTTAACCCTCACAAGGACCCTACAGGCTAATGCTATTATTCCTCCACTTTACAGACGTGGAAACGGAGGCACACAGAGGTTAGGTCGTTTACTCAAAGTCACATAGCCATCGAGAGGGAGAGCCAGACGTACTGTCACAGTTTAGCTCCAAAGCCATTCCTTTAACTACAATTATATTTTATATCCATATACCAGGGGTACCAAAAAAAAATGTATACACATGACTTGGATTCATCTTTTGTTATCGGGATATATTGAATGTTACAATTTTAACACGGTTTTTTCCTTTCTTAGAACGTGTGTACATTGTTTTGGCACCCTCTGTGTGTATATATATTCATTTGGGGGGATGGATTAATGGAGACCGAGGTCATAGCAGTGGCTTCATAAGAAGCCCTGCGTGGCCCGATGCGCCCACTGGGCGACACCAGAGTTCTGGCGGAGAGCTCGGACTCCACGCTGAGGTTGGGTCCCGGGGCCGCTCCCTCGTGCTGCAGCCAGCGTGTGAGGAGAGGAGGCCCGGACGCAACTCAGAGCCCCGGACTCTGAGGCCCAGACTGGGGGTGCTGGCCCCTCGTGGGCTCCTGGAGGGCCAAGTGTTGCGGACGGCTCCCGCTGCCTGGACTCAGAGCCGAGACCCCCATCCAGGCCACCACTTGAGAGGCCCCCTGTGCTTCCTTCCATTGTCTCTGCGGGGCACGCCCAGTGTGTTCCTACTGCGACCTGAGGCCTGGAGGGAGCAGGGAGGGAAGACGCCAGCCCAGACCCGGGTCCGGGTGGGAGAGCGGAAACGAGAGGGAAGACTGGGTGTTTTTCCTTGTTTGTGTTTTGTATTAAAGAAAGCAAATAATATCCTTTGAGAAAACTATTAAACAAAGCACATCCTAAGGCCACCGAGGCCCTTTGTGGCTGCCTGGAGCCCGGAATTCATTCATGCTTTTTTGGCTGGATTGTTAGAGGCAAGAGAGGGTGGGAGGGAGAGACTGTTATTAAAATATACTTTGACATGTGTCATGCGCTCCCTGGACTCGTTAGGAGTCGAGGCTGAATGTCCGTAATGCCAGGGTCCCCGTGTCCTCCTGAGCCTGTCGCCCTCCACGGGACGCTCCCAAGACTGGCCAGTCCTGGCTTAGCCGGGGCTGCAAACATCCATCCCCACTCCTTGGTCAGGGCCAGCAGGGCCCTCAGCTGTGCAGCCCAAATCTGGGGGGCTGCACGTGCCCTCACCGTAGAGGGTCTGGGCCGCCAGCCCCCAACAACTGCCTGTCTGTAATTCATTGTATGAGCTCTCTGGGCCTCAGTCTCCCTATCTGTAAAGGGGGAGATTGGGCCAAATGGACTCACTGACCATTGTCCAGAATGCTGTGCCCTGTCACTCCCTCTCTCACCCTGTGTGTGCCCAAAGTCCTGTGGACCCTGAGTCGGCCTGGACACAGGTGTCCCAGGCCCAAGCCACACACCCCCTCCTACCAGACCCCCAGGCCTAGGTCCCTCCCACCACGCGCCCAGGCTGTCCGTAATGGATGGGCAGTGCTCTCCCCGTGTCCCACCAGAACACACTTTCCTGCTGCGGGGAGGGAGGCGGCCATCAGCCCAGCTTCTGCAAATCATCCTACCTGGGACCTGGCATTTCTGGAACCAGCCCCACGTTACAAGTAGAGGGCCTCTCACCAACTGTGAAGTAAATGTATAAGTTGTTGTTGTCAGGATGACAATATACAAGAAACCATCCGTAGGATTTTCCCCAGTTTAAAAATTGTAAAGGCATTTAGCTATTTGCATGTTTTCCCTAACTGCTCCCCAAGAGTATAAGGAATGAGGGCCTTGGGTAAAATTGCATGGGGGTCCTGGACTAGGATGGAGAGACCTGGGTCCTAGAACATTCCCTCTGCGTGAGTCTTAGGGCTTCCAAGGGGTCTGTATCCCCTCCGTCCTCTGAACAGCTCAGAGAAGAAGATATTAACGTTCCCATTGTGTTAGGAAACTTGATGTTAGAGAAGTAACTTGTCACTCACACAGCCAGTGAATCCAGGGCGTGGTCCCAGCCCTGTGGTAAACTCTGCGACACCTTGAAAGGCTCATTCACCTCTCTGGACCTGAGCATTCTCAGCTGTAATTTGACTGACTGGATATGACGAATTCTAAGGTCCCCTTTGTGTCCCTACCGTTTTTGACTCTGTAGCTCCAGCATCACTGCCTGCTGGGAAATTCACGGACCCTAGTATTTTCCATTTTTCAGCCTGGCTTTGGTGGTCAGAGTCTAGTCTTTCCAAACGCTCCATTTTCTTTCTGTCGTCGATGTTGTTATCGTTAGTTCAGTCCCAGAAGTTCTTTGCGCTCTTTCCGAAGTTGCTAACGATGCCCCCTCCTCCCCCCATGCTGCAGGGCTACCACCCGATGCCCCACGAGGTGGAGATTGCTCACACGAAGAAGTTGTTCCGGCGGAGGAGAAATGACCGAAGGTAGGAGAGACTGCCACGAGCTTTGGGTTTTCTTTTCCTCTGTCGGCCACGTGGAGCTCCGCCACCACTGGCCTATGTTTGGCTTTCACCCATCACCAGCTGATACCTATGATGAGGTCGGCACGGTGGGGTTGGCTACTGGTTAGGCGGCAGGGGCTACGTTTTTCTTGGTTGACCCTGGGAATGGACGCCTTTAGGAGTCCAGGTTTTACAGATCAGGAGAAAAGCGGCTCTTTCCTTGGATCTTACAGCAGCAGCAGTAGCAAGAGGCTAGAACCTCGCTGGCACGTGTCTTGAGACACGGCCTCCAGGAGGCTCTGGAGCTCGCAGTTCCAAGGTTGTCTGTCTTTCCTCCACCCCAGTCACTGGGAGTTGTCCCTGGCCTGTGAGGCTCTGCTGTGGCAGGTGATACACAGCAACTGCACGTGCTACTGCTCTCGAACGCCCGGAGGAGCTCACTGAAAAGAAAGCAGGAACCAGGATCACCTGGAGTTCAGAGTCCTGGGTGGTAGCGAGGCCCAGGAGAGTGGCCATGAGGCAGCCCTGCGTTAGGAACGAGTGAGCCACTGAGGCTGGGCGTCCTGGGAGGGCATGCCTCTGCTCCCTCAAAGGCTTTCTGACAGGGAAGGGCTTCAAGGTTTATTGCAAATGGAAAACCCCAGGTGCAGAACAACGTTTGCGATTTGTGGCAGAAGGAGGTGTTAAGAGTGTGTTTTTTGCTTGAACATGCGTGATTTCTGGATGGAAATATTAAAGAAGGGAGGAAGAAGGGAAGGAGGCTTCTGCCTGAAGAATTAAAATGAGGCATTCCTCTATAGGGATTTCTTCTTAAGTAACAGTGATGGTTTGTGGTTTTACCTGTAATGACAGTAAAGGTATTGTAGTTTTACCTAAATTCAGAGAATGTTCTCAGAGAGCCGTGAAACAGTCCAGCTGACATCCTTGCTCAGAAAATTAGAAGGGGGGCCGGCCGAGTGGCACGGTGGTTAAGAGCTGGCTTGGGATGCCAGAGAGCCCGGTTCGGATCCCACATATGAGAGCCAGTGACACTGCCCTCCACAGCTAAGATGCTGAACAACTGCTCAACCTGGAGCTGGGCTGCCGTGAGTCACCGTAGGCTGCAGTCACTGCTGCAGTGGGTTGCCATGGGCTACCGTGTGTAGCCAGTAGCCGCCGTGAATGGCCGTCCAGAAGCCGGCGACTGATCTGCCTCACCCAGGAAGAGCGCAATGATAATACCAACATGGGCCAGTGAAGCAACGTCCTCCACAACTAGACTGAAGAATAAAAGGACAGCAACTTGTCTGTTCCCCTTCCCCCAATTCCCCAGGCTGTTCCCATCCCCCAATTCCCCAATTAAAAAAAAAAAGAAAGAAAATTAGAAGCACCTGTTCTCGTGCAGCTCCTTGAGGCCAGGGCTGTGGCTGACCAGGGTCCTTAATCCTTCCCTCCGCGCTCAGGCCCTGAACGTGGAGCATTGGGTGGTAGCCCCAGCTCAGAGTAGGCAGAAGACTGGGCACCCGGAATGCCTCATCATCAGCTGCTGGGTTTAGCTGGTCTGAAACAGAATAGTAAATGCACAACCAGCTGGGAGGAGAGCCGTCCTGGATTAGAAATCCGAACTGCTGGGCGCTGTTACGCAGTGGCATGAAAAGGGGAAACTGAGCCGGGAGAATTGGAGCAAGCCCTGTCCCTAATGCATGCACTGTGTGCTACCCTTTTGGTGTGCAGCTTCACAAGGCTAATGTCCGGGGTCTGGTGCCTGGGGGAGGGAAGATGTAGGAGGCAACCCCCTACAGGGAGAATGAGGTTCACAGAGACCTGGGGAAGGTGTTGGGGCGTGCAGAGGCTCAGTGTCCTTCCTCCCTTGCCCCATGGTCCCCAGAGTGCATGTCTAGAGGTGTGGGGAGTCCCCAAGCTTCTGCACAAGAGGTCACCCTCTGCCCTGCTTTCCTGGACTCAGCATCCAGGTCCCCACCTCCACTTGTGGGCCAGGTCGACTCGCCCAGCCGAAGTCCCTGGACAGTGGCAGGCCTCCGGAAAGCAGCAGCGTGACCCAGGAATGTAGGAAGAGGAGCATGACCCACAGGCACTGGGAAGCTGCCCTTCCTCTGGGCTGCTCTCCTGTTAACAAACTCCTGGCTGGGCCAGCTCACCTCGCAAAGGATGTGGACCCGGGACAGAGTCCAACGCCAGGCAATAAAGATGATTAAAGGGATGGAAAGCATGTCCTGTGAGGAGAGGCTAATGGACGGGGCCAGGGACGAGGAGGCTGCAGGGGAAGGATGTTCACGCCGGTAAACTCATGAAAGATTTATACGGAGGGCCGAGGAGCAGCTGCGTCCACATGCACAGGGACCCAAACCAGAGGAAATCGGCTGAAATGGAAGGAGAGCGTGCTCAGCTGGGCCGAAGACAGACTCACGGAACAGACGTCTTGCTATCTATCAGAGATCAGACTCTGCAATGTGGGGCAGCAGACCCGGACTGAGCAAGTACGCTCCACCTATATTCACAGTCTGGAATACGGTACAGTCTGTCACTTACATCATGGAGTTCCCAGGCACGGGCACTTTCAGGAGAAGACCATGCAGCCAGATAGTTTAAGGACCTCATTGTCTGGAAGCAGGAAGCCAACACCAGAGCCCCTGTTGGTGGAGTGTGTGATACTAACACTTGAGGAATGGCTGCAGAATATTATCAGGTTGACCTTAAGCTTCCCAGCTGATGATGGATAGTGGTGGCCTTGCCAAGGCCAAATCTTTGTATTTGACCTTGATAGCTAACACTTTCATACAGCAGGTTAACTTTCCTAGTGTTGGGCACTTAAGCCGCACCGAGAGGCTTGCATTCCCAAGGTGGCAGAGGGAGAGGTGACCAAAGTCCGTCTTGGCAGCCGAAGGGCACCGCCAGCATCTGCACCATGCCTGTGATCTCTCCCTCTGGTGGGGGAGAGCGGGTACTGTTTCCCATTTAACAGGTGGAATAACTGAGGCCAGGAATGTTAGCTAAGGAGTGACAGAGCTGAATGTGCCTGTATTGACTCCAAATCTCTCTTCCTTTCAACTCCACCATCTCAAGTAGACATTTGACTCAGAAACGGCCAAGAGCAGGGAGCTGGTAGGTGCACAGTTGGAGTGTGGCTGCAATGTCACATGAAGGGAAATGGCCTGCTCTAGCCCCTTGGGTCTCTGTGGCTCTCCTTGGAATGCCCACAGGGGTCTGTGGCCTTGGATCTTCCTGCAAAGTGGCTGGAGCTGTGCCTGGTAGCTGCAAACACACACACACACACACACACACGCATGCACACACACATGCACGCGCACACACACACGCGCGCGCGCGCACACACACACACACACACCACACGTTGCTGAACCTCAGTTTCTGTGATACCCTGCAACCTGGAACAGGAATTTGCAAACTGGGCTGTAGAGCCCTAGTCTTCCCAGAAGTCTGTCTCCCTGTTCCAGGTAGACTCTGGAGGTAGGTGTTTAGCGGTGCCCTTACTGCTTTTCTTTTCAAGTTGTTGAAGTCTGAGGCACATGCTATGGAGTTAGACACTGGATGTGAACCCCACCTCCTCTCCTCGCTAACTCTGTGATCTGGGCAAATTACTTCATATCTTGGAAACTATTTTCTCTTCTGTAAAATGGGTCTACTAATTGGGAGGCTTATATGAGCTAATCCTGGTAATGCACCTGGAAATGGTCTTAGTGTCAGATCAGAGAGGATTTGAGACACCCAGGAAACACTGTAAGGTGAGAGTGCAGCGAGGGTGTCTGCAGTGAGGGGTAGGCTGTCACCCCATGACCCTAACAAGCTCTGGATTCATGTGAGCCCAGAGAGCTTTATCTTGCTCCCTCCCACCCACCCACCCCAAGGCACCCAGGGTGTCAGTCAGTCCTTCTCCTGGATTAGCTTTGCCTCCGCTGTCGAGGCTGGCAGGGAAAGGGGGTCCCTCCAGAGCAGCGGTCTGCAGACTCTGCCCCCACATTCCATGGGCTGCTTCCAGGGTCTCTGATTAAAACCAAGTTGTGGATGCCTTTTCCTCACGGGGCAGAAAAAGGTTAAGCTCGTGAACAGTTCAAAGGTTTTCTCCTTGCAATGGTTCTCAAAACTTGGACAACTGGTAACCACTCATTTATTTAGGGAAACTAGTCTAAGATGTTTGCTGATTTCAGACAAAATTGCGCCTTTCATGATGTGAATGTACTAAATGAGTATTTCATGCATTCCTCAAGAGCAGTGTGCCTCAGGGTCCTCTGTCCCCATCCAAGTTGGAGCCCTGCTGACTGGAAGGGGGGCCACTGAGGTTTGTCTCCCACCCCCAGCCCTACCCACAGGATGCAAACTCAGAATAGGGCTGCGACCTGGCCATGCCCTTGACCCACTGCCTGTGTTGACCTTGAGTGAGGTCTCACCCAGGTGGTGAAGGGGAAGGGGAAGGATTCTCTCCACTCCATTTGAGGAGATGAACACACTGAGGCAACAAACGAATGTCTGTCAGCATCTGTGTTCCCTGGGAGACCGACTCTGGGATGGAGAGAAACAGGCCGGACACTTACTAAGGAGTGCCTGTAGGATCAATACAGCCAACAGGAAGGGAAGGGTGCAGGATTGGGCAGAGGGAGAAGTTGAGCTGCAGTGCAGTCTGGATGGGAAGGTCTGACCCTGTGGGCAGTTCTGAAGTTGGGGTGACTTTAGAGTGAAGGGGCAGGTCTTTATATCCCCATGTCCGCTGGTCATCGGATGGAGACCACCTGGGGATGGGGCATGACCTTCAGCTGGGAACTCTCTTAGCCTAGGGCAGTTTCCCTAGGGGCAAGGATGCTCTGGAGAATTCCAGAGAAGTGCCACCCCGCCCTGGGCCCCCAGGTGGTGCGGTGGGACCACGTGCTGGGTGCTTCGGCGCGAGCAGATCCTCTGGCAGCTCCTGTTGCCTCTGTCTGATTGATCGTGACTGTGGCTTGGTGTCCTCTAATCGTAGAACCAATTAA